TTGTAGCGGCATGATGGTGGAGCTGGAACACACAGGGTGTTTAAGTTAATGTTCCCTATTGACAGGAGTGGTAACAAACTCAGCTCACCCAGATGGTTACCACAGCTGTATTGATGAAACAAGCAGAACTGGGAGAAACAGGTTAAAACTGAGGTTTAACAAGGCTAAACTGTTATTTTAGGTGGTTTACCATGACTTAATGAGCTTTGTGGTGTAATCTTTGTGCTATTAAAGATCTGTAGTGAATAATGTTTTTACAAGCTAATCCTGCTTCAGTCTCCTACATGTTTTTATCTCTGGCCTCTCTGCTGTGTTCCCTGACCTCCAATCTAACATTGTTCACCAATGTTATCTAACACATAACTGGAAGCTTCAGGGAAATGCTGGATTTACAATCTGATTAAATTAAAGACCGTTTCTCTTTAGAACTTAAAAAGACATCTCAAGGCAATTAGTTCTACCAGATTTGTGTTCAAAAGACTACAATGAGAGATAAAAGAAACAGAGGTATACTGTACTACGCATTAATACCTAATCTTTTTCTTGATCTATAACATGTGATCCAAACAGAATATATTGGAGTTGGCAGTTGCAACATGACACAATGTGGAGAGGTCTGGGAGGAGCAAATTCTTGAAAAATTACTATAGACTTGTTTGGTTTGACTGTTTTTACAATGTCTGACTATTTCAACATTTATTAATGTTCTCATATTAAAAACTTTGAAAGGATTGTCTTACATGTGGTAGGATACTCGGTGGTGCCGTAATCACAGTATGCTGCATAAGAGAGATAAAAAGAGTTGTTACTATTATTTCACAGCAGTGTTTATAAGAGCTTTAATGAAAATTTATCAACAAGGAATCTGTTCAGGTTGCACTTACAGTAGAAGTCATCACAGCAGTTTCCATTGTATTGGCAGGAGCTGGAGCAGGAACAGCTTCCCAGGTGGTTTCCACAGTTGTAGCGGCATGATGGTTGAGCTGGAACACACAGGGTGTTTAAGTTAATGTTCCCTATTGACAGGAGAGCTAACAAACTCAGCTCCCCATGTGGTTACTACAGTTGTACTGATGAAACAAGCAGAGCTGAGAGAAACAGGTTAAGACTGAGGTTTAACAACACCAATCTGTTGTAGGAAGATTAACTGCTGACTAAGGCAAAAAATACAGAAGCATAAATTCACATCAAAGTAATTCAAAATACATGAAACAAACAGGTTTTGAACCCACATTATGGAAAAAGTTTTTAAACTAAGTAATATTGTTGAACCTCATACCTGTTGTCTGACCTGGAGGATTTAAAGAGACTCAGTGTTAGTCATAGCATGAACAATCATCTCAAAATGTATTGGTATAATTTACAGAAGAAAATGAATAGTGAAACAAAATAAAAAGAAGCAGTCAAACAAAATTACGACAGCCCCACCCTGACTCTCTCATCAGTGAGACAGGTGAGTGAGCACCTGTACACTTACTTCCACGATGCACACACATTCATAACCAGGCACACCATGCACCACATTTCCATTATATCTCCTCAGCTGCATTGTTTTATAAGTAGAATAGAATTGTATGTATTTAATTGCCTTCATCAGTCTGTATCTACATTCCCCTTTGGTGCATCAGAAAAAGTCTACAGTAAGTCTTTGATTTGTTAAACCCCTGGACTGAATCCCAGATGGGTCTGAAGGGGCTTTAGCTGCAAAAAGAATTGACCTGTTATGTGTTCCAGTAGTAATTCTGCTTTGACCCCTAATTATCATTTTTTATTCATCTTATTTTTTAGGATTAAGGTTGTTTTTTTATTTTAACTTTTCTGTCACTCCTATATAATAACAACCACTCAAGATAAAAAATATTGCATGTTTACTGCAAACACAGCATGTGTTTTTTTTAGTCATTGTTTTTTTTTCTTTTATAATTCATAAAGAAAACAAAAATCATACCTGTGGTGGGCTCCACAGTGGTTGATTCACAGTAAGCTGCATGAATCAGAACATAAAGTGATTATATAATATTAGATTAGATGAGCTTTATTGATCTCACAGCGGAGAAATTCACTCGTCAAATATTGGCATAGAAGTTATAGAAGGTGCAAAGAAGGAGGAAAAAGGTGCATTAAGAATAAGCAATATATATACAGTATATCCAGGTATATTCAGTATATATACATATATATTACATCGAATTATTAGATATGGATGCAGAATAAATTGATGCTGCAGATTTTGGCCTTACAGTTGTAGTCATGGCAGCAGTTTCCATTCCACTGACATGAGTAGGAGCAGGAGCAGCTTCCCATATTATAACCACAGTTGTAACGACAGGAAGGTTGATCTGTGAGACAGGAGAGGTTAGAGAAGTTTTTTTTTATTAACCATTTAATCTGTTTTACTATCTTTAAGTTTTAGCATTTAAGTAGAATCCTCCTTTAATATTCTCCAGTTCCATATAGGTTCACATCTAGTGTGATAAACAGTTAACTAGACTAGGAGCAGGAGCAGCTTCCCATATAACCTCAATTGTGAGAACAAGAGGCCACTTTTAAGTTTGCTTTTAAAAGTTTAAATACACCTGTTCCCGCATTAGTCTTTACTTCACTGCACAGAAACTTTTAAAAGTTTCTTGATATGGTAAAATTTTAATTAATTTTCATCAAATTCATTTCAGTTAACATTTTTTATTCAATAAAGTTCTGAAGCGTCATGGGCTTAAAAGGCAGTTTTGGAGCTTGTAATTTGTGTTCAATTCAGTATGATTAGTAGCACCCACAAAATAAACTTTGTGGATATAAGAGGTGAAACTGTTCTAACCAAAACTTTAGTTTTAGTTAGAACAGTTTCACCATAATGTAAATAAGGCAACTGAGTAAATGGGGACAGGGTATTTATTGTTAAATTGTTTTTTTAGAAAGGGTAAATACAATGCTGGAATTATAAAATTATTATAAAAATAAAGAATGTCTTTTTTTTTTTTTTTTATGAATCTTTAAAAGCCAGTCAGCGCTGAATATTTTTTTTATATATATTTTTCTTTAAGAATCAAAATGGAGAAGCTAAAGGGTCAAAATCTACACCACAAAAGTTTTATTTATCTGTGATATATAGGTTGTATTGGTCTATAGCAGAAATAAAATCATATCTTTAAAGTGCAAAAGAGTAAGAGAAACCTTTTTTTTTTAGGTACCAGCAGGATTTTAAAACTACTGTCATCACTGGATAACATCATTTGTCAAACCTGTCGTGGTTGAGTGGTCCAGTCCTGGATCAGAGGTGGTTCCACTGGTGCTATTGCAGTAAGCTGGAAAAGAAGAAAGAATGACTGAGGTAAATTTCACAGTCATTTACTCCAGTTATGCAGCAGCTGTTTTGAAGTTGTAACCACAAAGCTGTGATGTCCCACTGAGGTACAGACACTGCTGCACACTTTAAAGTGTAATCTCACAAAGCAGAGATCCAAGTCTAAGTTTCCACTGACTAAAATCATTGATTTAGCTGATTTTAAAGTCAACTAATTAGTACTTAACACAAAATCTCAAAATAGTCTTAAATTTGAAGGCAACTGGACTTTCATCTAGGTTTTTTTTCAAGATGCTTTAGACACCTATCCATGGGTCTTTGTCAAAAATGGTGGATGCCAGATAGCTCCTGGATAGGTGTTGAAATGTCTTCAGAAAAAAAGTCAAATTGCCTTCCAGTTTAAGCCCTTTTTTGTTAGGAATCCAGTTTGTGTGGTCTGTGTTTTTCTCCCTCCACCACCGGTTGGTGCCCCGTCCTCGTTTACCCTCCTGCACACCTGCGGCTTGTTAGATCATTATCTGGAGGAGTATTTGAGCAGTGGACTATCACTACCTCGAGGCCAGAGTGTTTGCCAGTTTTGGGTACTCTAGCCAAGCTGAGTTTAGCTGAGTCTATCCTAGCTTTGTTTCTCTGGGTCTAACAATTTTTTTTTGTTTTTGCTTCCCGGCAGGAAGCTTTCCTGTGTTACTGGATTCCTTGACCTTCACTCCCCTGGAAGGAAAAACCGAGTTACACTGGGCAGGGGAAAACCTCCACATGTTCCGTTCAAGTACCCATCGGAAATCCAAGTGACAGTCCGCTCCATTACTCCTCCGGGGCCAACGCCTGTCAACCTGTCTGCCCTCCAACGTGTGCACTATTCTCTGGATTAACCAGACAGATTGGATTCAAGGACTAACAAGGCCCCCCTCTAACTTGAGTCCAATTCTTGTAAAATGTAATTGCTTCCAAGATTCCCACGGTTCCTGAACTGACCACTGAATTTCCCTTCTCACTTCCAGTTCCGGGTTACCAGCTCACTGATTTCCAGATCCAACTCCTGTTTTACCCCCTCAATAAACCTGTTAAACTTTTTCCTTGCTCTCTGAATGGTTTCTCTGCATGTGGGTCAGATTCAGTAAACCGATCATGACATTTTTGTGGTTGCCACAACCCCAGATGACAGAGAATTTACACAGGCATATTTGACAAATAGATGTTTTTTCTTTTTTCAGAACATTGTATTCAAAACAAATGTTTTGACTACAAGGGTTTAATTATTTTTAAAATGTCATTGAGTGTTAATGGTAAATGACTTGCACTTAGTGCCTTTACAAGTCAGAGAACTGCAAAGCTCTCTACACTACATTCTCAACCAAACTGTGACCCTTACCCTAAACCTCACCATTATAGCTTCCCACCCAACCCTAACCCCAACCTAAACTCATTTCACACCTAACCCTAAAAAAGCACTTGTACCCATGGTGACCAGGTATTGGTCCCCACAAGAGCAATCACTCCCCATGATGTGCAGTGATTTATGGAAAGTGGTCCCCACAATGTGTGAAATACCCCCTACACTTACACACACACACACACTAATGGTACGGTTTAGTGCCTGTTGGGGCATGAGTGGAAACATGACTGTGAGCTTTTTTCTTTGTAAAGTTGTAGCTTGGGCTGCCCCCTCTACTGGACCATTCCAGGTCTCTACTAATTTCCAGGCTAATACACATCTATGCAGATAACCCCATTGTTAGCCTCCATCTACTGCTAAATACATCTTGTATTAAATAATACCTTGTATTTTTCAGTGATGTTGTTATATATGCATTGCCTTTTTCTACTTGCTGTATTGATCTCTCTCCAGGTGTCGAGGCCGACACCAAGGATGTTTTCCTGTGTTCTCTTTTTCTCTCTTTTACTATCACCTTCTCCAGGGTGTCAAGTAACAAAGTACAAATACTTTGTTACTGTACTTAACTACATTTTTTAGGTACAGTGGGGACTGGTTGGAAATGGACGGTTTC